AAAAAAAAATTTTTTTTTTTTTTTTTTTTTTTTTTTTTTTTTTTTTTTTTTTTTGTTGAGTAAGTTCTTAAAAATTTGTTATAAATCCCATATAAATCCTATTTGAAGTTTATAGTAAGCTTGAATAATAGGTGTAAAAATTTACGTTGTAAAAATAAATATATTTTGTATTATTTCATAACCACATGAATTTGAAATCTATTAATAAATTTTTCTATTTTTGCCCATTTTTTCCAATTATAAATTTTTAATTACTTTCGAATTGCGCATTGTTGTCTTAACAATTTTAGATATACTCGTGTAAGCAAATGTTTTTGGCTTGTGATATTATATATTATTTATATGCATATATAAATATATATATATGTATATTTATATGTATATTTATATGCCCACTTACTTGGTAACAGATGCCTTAAATATCCGGGCTCCACGCTGGGCGTAACGCGCCGTTCACCCAAGGTTTCCAGATAATTGCAAATGTACTCGACCATTTCCATGCCACGTTTTCGAAATTCGGTGCTATCCATCTTTATGCCGTTTTATAATATATATATTAGTTTGCCTCTATTTTCGCTCTTTTTGTGATATTTTGAGGGAATCGACTTGTTAGCGTGTTGTAAAAATTAGACAAACAAATGTTTTTTGATTACATTATTATATATATTATTTATTTATTTATATTGTCAGTGAACTGGTTTTAAGGATTTTTGTTTGCTAAATATATTTTAAATTTATTTATAATTATATTTTAAATAGTAAAAATATTTGAAATTAATATTTTTAGGTGCAAAAAGTTCATTTTTTAATTGGTTATTATAACTTTAAAAATGGTTAATATATTTTTTTACCGAAGCACAATGTTGCCCAATATTAACTAAAGTTAAGGTATTAAAAAAGAAATATAAAACATTTTTAAACAATGTAAAATAAAATACTTAAATATATATAAAATAGGAAAAGTTAACTAACAAAATAAATATATATTTTTATAAGCGAAAAGTAAAAATTAAATGAAAAATATAGAAGTATAAGCTTAAATATAAATAGTAAATAGTTTCAACAAAAAAAAATCAATATTGTTTATAAGTTAGTTAATTAATTTTTTTTAAATCTATATTAATATATTCCAATGTCAATCAACGATTTGATCATTTTTCCAATGTCGCACTTAGATATTTTTTGTGTATTTTTGCACAGTTTTTATGTATTTGTGCAGCTGATTTACAACACTTTGTTTACACGTAATTAATTTGGTACTTAGTTAATTTAGTTGCCTTTCATTTCTTATGGTTTGTTTATTGGCTCTTATCGCTATAGACAGCTCTTAAAAACTGTTTCAAATTGTTTTTTGTCGGCTTTAATGTGTTTCATTAACAATGTAGTTGCAGTAACAAATTGCCCAGTTTCAATTTGTGTATTTGTATTTGTTTATAATTTAAATTGGCTCTCAATTAACTGTAATTTCAAATGATTTTGCATACATTGAACAATTTCCAATTGCTGGCTCTTTGTTAGTTTCTAATGGGCCATTACTATCACTGCCACAGCTGCTTGCCACTTGCCACTTGCCACTTACTGTTTGCCAAGTCGTTGTTGGCCGCGTCAATATCAACCGTTGGCCACGGCTTGCAAACCTCAAATGATCCTGGCTCTGCGGTTTGGCCAGGAGCTAAGCTCGGTTCCGCTGCCTGTTGGCATGTCTAATAAATGCCGCGGGGGATGCGAAGCGAGGGGGAGTAGGTCGACCGACTCTTGTGCTATAGGGAGGGGTTGCAAATAATTGAAATATTTGCGCTGCACAGTGGATGCTGTAAATAATAAAACGTGCAGAAATAAGTGAGTAAAAAAAAAAATAATTAAATTAAAAAATTGTGAATTAAAAATTGTTAAAAAACATGAATAAAAGAAATATATTTAATTTTGAAATTGCAAATAAAAAATTTTTTTAAGTTATGCATTTTTATTAAATATAATATTTTATTAATAAATTAATTAATATTTTTTTAAATGCATATAATACGTATTTTTCATCATTTTTTTTATCTTTTATCAACTTTTTAGCATAATAAAAGCATAGAATGCACCCACAATGGTCCACAATATTCATATTCATTCATGGCTAACCTCCTGTACTGTATGTGTATTGTCTGTGTGTGTGTGTGTGTGCGAGTTGCTAAGTATGTGCGTGTGCGTGCAAATATGCAGCAGCGCAGCAAGACGTCTAAATCTAATTTAAAGCCTTTTGAAGTAATTTTCGAATTGAACTTAATTTATATAATGTTAATTCAAAGTACGTGCTTATTTTATTGTTAACAGGCAAGTCTCACTCACACACACACACACGCAAGCCGTTTACATATAGATGTCCTGCAGCAATCCTCCTCAATTACAAACAGTTTGTCCTTTTGCTTTATGCGCCACGCTCGTTTTGTTAATAACTTCCGCACAACATAGAATTACACTGGCTTACATAAGAAATGATACGCTTGAGAAAATACTTTTGATAAAGAATAAACAAAAACAATAATAACAAACAAATAATTAGTTCAAGTGGAAAATAATGAGTGCATTAAACATTCAATGATTGAAAAACAATAAATATATAAATAAATAAATATATATTCATTTTGTACTATATGTGAGTGTAAAGCATTTGAGTGGAAAGCATTTGCTTATCTTAGCTTAAATGCTTATATATATTTTATTGCTTCATTGTTTGGCTATTTAACTTTTCATTTATTTTTATACACATTTTATAAATTTTAATATTTATTTCATAAATGTTTAATATCGATTTTTCATATATACAATTTATTTATTTCTTTAAATTTATTTTATTTGTTTATATATATTTTATTTTATTATTAATTATAATTAAGTTTTAAAAACTGAATCAGATGATAATTATATATATTTATTTTATTTATATTTAATTTATTTATATTTATTTTATTTATATTTGTTTTATATATATATATATATTTTTTTCGTATTTAAACAATTAAATTTGTGCTTTAGCTCTTCTCGATTGCAGTCGTTAGATCGCAACTCTGTTGCCCAGTGTTATATCTGTGTATAGTGCGCTTTATATAGAATAGCGTTGATAATGTGATGATAATGCTGCTGCCTGTTGAGCTCATCATAATCATGATGATAATGATGATGACGATGACGCTCTCAATGAGACAGTCAGAGCAGTGCCTGTCATCTGGTATTTGGCAGGCATTCCTCGTAACATTCCAATGCGACCATCACAGGCTTCCCACTCGCTTTTATTTTATTCCATTTTTTTCCCCTCTCTTGTTCTGCTTCTTTCTATTTCTGCTGCATTGAATCTCTAAGAATTGTCTGCGTTTTCATCGAGCTGTAGGACATACATTAACTGTGTGTGTGTGTGTGTGTGTGCGCGTGTGAGTGTGAGTGCGTGGGTGTTTGATTGGGTCATGAGATGCCACCCACACGCACACACACACACACACACACAGTTTTGTGAAAAGTTCATTAATAAACTTTCGTTAGCTGCTGTCGAATTCAGAGAGCTCTCTGCATTCACGTTCCTATTTACAGCTGCCTGGCCCTCTCGCTGCCCCTGCCCCATTTATTTCGCCCTCAACTAAATGTTGTTTAGCTTCAACAAGTGGCATGCTACGTTCTGCGTGTGTGTGTGTGTGGGTTCTGCTCTCGTTCTGCTGCTGCTTCTGCTGCTGTGCTGGTTGTCATCCTTGTTGTCTAGAGCTCGACACCAACAGAATTTTATTTAATGGGAAATTTCTGCTGCAGCCGCGCGCATTTAATTGCTCTAGAAATGCTTTTTTATTGACTTTTACTTGAACTCCTCTTCATGCGCCATACTCAAACGCGCTACAATGCGGCACAGTCGCTAAGGCTTGAGCTAAGATTTTGGCCTAAATCATAATACAATTATGGCCTAATACATAGCTAATGAATTGATTGACTGAATTATAAAGAGGAAATCCGGAAGGGAATAGAAGTTAAAATTATTTGAAATAATAGTGAGGAATACAAATTTTACTAAATAATTATAAAAGAATGCTAATGCATATAAATCTATTGAATAAATGAATGAGTGAAATTTTAAACCTCCTGAAAGGCTTGATAATATTTTTTCTTTAACTCTAAATTGTTATATGAAGTATTTTATGTTATGGGAAATATTTAAAAAATAAAATTAATTTGTTATATACATATAATTGAATCCAAAATCTCAATATCCTGAATTTCTGCAAATTTAAAATGGCTTTGAAAGCTTTCATAATTTTATTTCCTTAACTATTTATAATTATTTGCCAAATTTGATTAAAATGATATTAAGATTTGAAAGTTAACAGAGAATATTTATTTAATTTAAAGTAGAGCTTATAAAGTTCGCATTAGCCGCACCTGTTGCTTGCTTAGGGTGGGGTTTTTTTTTTACCGTTGCCTCCGGGCGAAGCAGCGCAGCGCCGCTCGCGTCTCATAAAGCAATTATGCAATTTGCACAGACTGTGGTGACAATAACTGCGCAAGACAGTTTATGAGTGGATGGATGAGGCTAGAAGCAGAAAAGCTGTTATTATGATACCCGATTCTGGTTCAAGGTTGTTGCCGAAGGCAACTTCCAACCCAAATTGCATAGTTAATCGTCTTACTTTAATGCCCCATAGGTTAGCCAAAATGATGCACTATCGCAAGGCCGAGAATGTGGAGCAGGAGTTGAGCAAAAATGATTTACCCTTTGAGAATTGCTTGCCAAAGGCGCACAAGGATTTTCTCTGGATGCACGTAAGTGAATAACAGTATTAGATCTATACTGAATGATTATTCATGGAATCCAATCAACAGGTCAAGGGCGGCACCGAGGTGAGCAATGTGATTGGCTATGCGCAGGCGGCGCTGGATAAAGGCGAATATCGCAGCCTGGTCTGGAGCGGTTCTGGTGGCGGCGTTGTTAAGACCATATCCTGTGCCGAGGTGCTGAAGCGTAGCCATCCGCTATACCAGGTCACGCGCATGGGCTATACGAGGTAAACTGTTGGAGTAGAGATGAACTGACGATTGTTTAATGTATGTAATCCTCGCTTGCAGCGTGGAGGAGCACTGGAAACCACAAATGGATGGCCTGGAGGAGATCGTTGTCAATCGCAAAATACCCACATTGCATATACTCATGAGCCTGGACGAACTGGACGATAGTATAGCTGGGTTGGTGCTCAATCTTAATTGAATTAATTAATTTTCATTATTTCTGATCTGTTCTTTTTTTTATAGTTTACAGAAACCCAATACAACTAGTGATTTCTGGCAGCATGATGAGCCGCCTGCTAATAGACAAGCTGCTGGCAATAGACCTGCGCCCGTTAATAGATCAGCTCCTGCAGCCAGAGGCACAAATAAACGCCAAAGATTTGGACGCAGCAAACCGCAACAGCAGCAAACTCAGCAAAATCAGCAAAGCCAAAGCAAACCTGCAACCGAAAGCGGAGCCAGTGAACATACCTAACTGTATTTATATTCAACTATGGTTTAAATATATACTAAATTAGCTATTGAAAGGAACGTTTAGCATAAATATATGCCAAATCAATGTCTAAATAGAAATAAGTAGATATATATAAATATCAGAAAATATCAATCTTTTCTTTCTTTTCTTATCAGTCATATTTGCTGTAAATGATTTATATATATTTTATATATTAATGTGTGGTTTTTTTTTTTTTTTTTTTATTTTTATTTTTTTTTATTTTATTTAAGCGTTGAACCTGTACATGCAAATATAGTACTTTAA